TGTCTTTCGAGAAGATCGTAAACACCACCTCGCAAGTGGCAACAGCTTCACTCCATTCCTTCGTATCGTGGCCATAGGATGAAATTTTGTCAAGTATAAGCCATGAATCACCCGTTCGGTGACATGTAGTCCGATAGGGAATCTTCCCTTGAATTTTTGTCAAGTGGATGGACATAGGATTCAGAATCCCTCTTCACATTCACATGACATCCAGCGTGCCCATACCACCCTTCTCGGTTTTTGATATGTCTCATGAAGGCCAACCATGATTCATCAGTTGCTGTTGAAAACTATCCCTGTTACCATCCACTTGATCAGATTCTTCACCTGGTTTTGCATCTTGATCTTCCAATGTCGGCCCATGGTCCCCAGAGCTTCGTTCAGTCCTGGGTCGTCCTTGCCGGAGGTTGATCTGCCTTGAAGCGGATATTGAATTTGATCGGGCTTGACAACTTTGAGAACCTTCATTCTCAATGGCTTCATTGGCTTCATTCTCTATGAGATCCTTGATCGGTACAAACATGATTTTTTCTCCAACTGAATTCTGGGTGAACGGCATAGCCTAAGAATAAGCCAGGGCTTGATGTTGGATCAAAACGAAGTCCGTCTTTGTTCTTCTTTCTGGGTCCGTTCCAATAGTCCACAAGGCAACCAAAAGGAATCAATGGACCTTCAAACTTCGAACCAAGCCTCAGACTCAACTCCCATGGCAATGGTTCGCCAAACAGTCTGCATGAAACACCAATGCCGGGCAGCATGTGGCCAATGCCAATGATTCAAACGTGCTTGGAGCAAGTTGACACGAGTTCCTTCAAGCACGGACCTAACTGCTCTTTCGGCTTTGGCGTTGGATTTGGAAATGTAGTCTCTACTCAGCACATGTCTACATTGAAGAACCTTCATTGCTGAAATTAATTCAGGTGCATTGTCACTGTCGAAGGCTCCAATCTCCTCAGTATGTCCAACAAAATGTTTCATGGCAAGAACTGCAGCATTGGTAGTTCGTCTTGCATTGGGGTAAACGTACATAAAAACCAGTGGCCACGTCTTTCACAACCAGTGCACTTCGCTCATCATCGATTCCCACTTCTTCCTCATCTCGGGCCACGATGAAATCAGCAGCGATGTGATCCCCAAACCTCTGAGCTTCAACCTGTGTAGATCCGCCAACAGTCTTTGAAGGTGGCTTGAACATCTTGGCCCGTTGACAAACATCGCAAAAGGGATTTTTGGGAACATGAGTGGGCATGTGTCGGATGGACTTAGCCTCTTCCTTCAACGCTTTCTCCCCAAGTGATCGTTTAAACTCATGCTGATCGTCATGGACACTACTGCTACTACCTTTAGTTCATCTGGCGGCTCAACCTTCGTCGGCATCAGGCTCCTCAACCGCCTCAGTCAACAGTGGCTGGGGCTCTGGAAAATCGATGGGTTCATCTCCAACAACTTCAATTTCACCATTGTTTTCCGGAGATTGTTGAGCTTCAGCTGATGCCGGCACGGTGATGCTAGGCCGCTGCTGAGTGGAAGGAGTGGTGATCATCTTTGAATTGTTTGCAAGATAAGGTAAACAATCTCGGACAACTAGTTCAATTCTTTCCCCATTTGGTTTGATCATATAGGGATATATAGTGTGTTTCACCTTTTGGTAACCATCATCGACACATCTCATCCCAATTGAAATCACAGGAGGCGAACTCTTCACAAGATAGGGATCAATTGTTTCCCTTGTTTCCCCAACTTTGAACTCTCGCCATTTGCGGTAATCATGTAATCATGTAATCATTCTGGTGGGGCTGCCTGAATAATAATACCCATAATCGTCGGGCAACTCACTGTCATTGACCAATCCTGTGCACTGCCTGTGTCTGCGATCCAGTCAAATGGAGATTAATTGCTCCCTTCAGGTCATCTTTACATTCAGCCGGAGGGGCAGTGATTCCCTTAGGGATACACTCATCTTAGCCAAAATCAATGATTTACAATTCAAACCTTGAAGACGGTTGGAAACCGGCCCAGCCAACATGGCGCCAACCAAAGCAGCATCATTGGCGGCTGTTGCGTCGAAATCAAACGGATGTCCCCACGGGAAGGTTACCTTACCAGCGGTAGTATTGTTTCCAAGTGGGGTCAAGTTCCCTCGGGCTTTAAATCGAGTCACGCCGGGATGATCATCAAAACGGACCAATGGACAAAAAGACTCTTGGCTCAGGGATGCCATTGCCTGAGACACGGATGCAAGCATGGCTGCAACCAAACAAACTGCGGCAGGTGAAGTCTTCGAAGAGCTGGCAGCCGATCCTTTGGATTTCAGCGACTCTTGGAGCGGCCTGGGCTCTTGAACCCTTCCTTGTCGGGCGTTTGCCCGATTTCTTTTTCCTTAAAGTCACTGCTTGCCGATCTGGCAGGAGTGGCCTGTCGAGGTTTGCCAGCAGATCCTTCATGAAGGTAATTACACTCGTCCCCGCGGTCACACCGGCCTTGTTTCCAAAATTTACAAACTCGTTTGCCTTTCCCCTTTGGCTTGGGTGATCTCGAACGATCAGTGGAGCGACCCCGCGCCTTGCTGGGTTTAGGGTTCTTGTTTCTGGGCTTTTGGGGTTTCATGCTTATAAGTGCAGCTGTCCTTCGTACATCCTCCCCTATTCCAAGCCGCACAGTACCCCTTTGGGATAAAGCCCGTCTTGCCCTCGACTGCGGGAGTGGAGGGACGACCAGCACCTGAAAGACCTTTGGCTACTCGATCTCGATTTGCTTCAAGTCTCTTTCGGTCAAGGTGGCGCCTGACGGCTGAAACAAGGAAGCTGTATGTTCTCTTTTCGGTTCCCTCATCGGCTCTGTGATATTCATTCATGTCATGTTGGATAGCCTGCCTTATAATTCTTGACTTGCTTGTTTCATCAGGAGCTTGGACAATACCGGTCAATACTTGGCCCCAATTGGAAATAAAGGCCTTCAGGTTTTCCCCACGCAACTGCACGCTGAACAAATGTTGGAGAGCGTACGTAGCCCCATGTCTGATATTGGTACTAAAGTGATCGTCACCTGTGATGATGTCGGTAAGGGCAGAAGTAGCTTTGCATATCGTGTCGCGAACGGCGCAACCTTCCGGAGCGCTTCAGGGGTGCGTTCCTCTTTCCAAGATTCACTTACCCACTTGAATGCATTGTCCGGGTCAGTTGATGCGGCTACCACAGCCTCACGAGTCTTGATTCTCCAGTTGCGATAGCTTTCTGCCAAAGGCAAAGCTGGGATCTTGATTGTATCGGCTTCCTTGGCTTGGGGTTTCTCATCCGACTTTGATTCAAAGGATTCACCAAGATACCTGACCATCCTACGTCTGATCTTCAGAGTCCGGAACATCTCGATCGTCACCCCCATCCGGAAGACCGGAACCCCCTTTGGGCTTTTTGCCCTTCTTTTCTTTGGGGTTCTTCTTATCCTTTCCCCAATCGGGTTGTTTGGTGGATTACGTGGATCACCCCTACCCCCGCCATTGCCGTCGCTCCCATCGCCAGGTTTCTCATCGTCCCCATGGTCATCACCTTCATCTCCAGGTTCATAACCGTCTCCAGAAAATCCAAAACCTAGGTCAGTCGGTGAGTATTGCTGCGTTGGAGCAGAAGAAGCGTCCCGTGTATTTGCCCTTGCATCATTGGATCTGAAAACAGGGGCGGCCACTCCTCCCGGAGGACGTCTTGATTCTGATGACTCCGCAGTGCTTGGTTCCCTCTTGATATTGACTGGTCCTGTGGAAAATCTTGGATCAAGATAAGTAATCTCAACCTCATCGTTCCCTTCATCCAGCACTGCATCTGATGGCTTGTCAGCGGCGGTGCAGCAGGCTGCCTTTGAGGTGGGAGCCACATAATCTGCCTGAGATGCAAAGGTTGAAGACGCAAAGTCTGTGCAGGTAACGTAGCTGTAGCAGTCTCCACAATCGGCGGCGGACATGCCTGAGCAAGCTGGGGGTCGATCATACCTTGCCGTTTGAGATTGTGTTGCGTTTGAAACTGAACCATGTGTTCAAGTTGTGCAATACGATCATTCTGCACTCGTCTCTCCTCCCCTGCCCACCTTTTCAAGTCCACTATCTCTCGCCCTTTACTTGACAATGATTTGCGGTGATTGGCATCAATGACTCTCTGGTATGCTTGAATTTCCTCATTCGTTTGAATCTCTCGGAACCTGACGTGTTCCTGTGCCTCATGCTTGATATTCTCTCTGAACTGAAATCCAAAATGGTTTATTTCATGTGCATTGAACATAATTGCATCTCGGGCCCTCTGACTTTCAATACCCTCCCGAACTCGTAACACTTCCATGAATTCCTCCGTCTTGGCCGTGTGGGTGGCCTCAACATGGGCTTCAGCCTGAGCTAAGACCTCACGATGTCGGAGCCCAGCCGTTGCTTCCACAAGGCTTGTCGTGGCAGGTTCATGTGCATGTATGTAAATGAACACTCTGCTCGACAAAGCTGACCTGAGGATTATCAACATGTACATTCTGTTGGAACGTCTTGTGAACATTCATTTTGTTCATTGAACGAGTCGGTGGCCCACCCTCCCGAGGTGCATGAGGAAGGCACAAGTGCGTTCCCTGGCGACGTTCCCTCAAACTCCTTGCCTTATCGGAACCAGGTGGGGTGCCTATGTCGACCAAAAGGGGGAGACTCTGAAATTGGTAGCACAACAGGTGGTGCCATGGCAACATCAGAGGAAGCGGACCCGGCGCCCTCGGTGGAAGTATCCGAGGGGGCAGACATACCTACCAAAGAGAGAAGATCTTGCGGCTGATAACCTGTAGTTTAGGCAATTTAGCCAGCTTCAACCACCAAACATGTGCCCACCCCAAGTGTGTTCTGCTGCTAGGAATGCAGCAGCAGACACACACTGGACGCACTGGCTGTAAGGGCAGCCGGTATGCAAACAGGAAGAAAAAGGACACGTACCTAGCAACAACATATTTTTTATTGCTTGGGCAATGTGCAAGAAGACCGCCTGGTACGTATCAGCTGCGGCTTGTCCAACATTTGGCGCTGGGGTTTGCCCATCTGCACCTGCACAGCTGGAAGCTTGAGAAGGACAAACAAAAAATATCACCTGAAACAGCCACTGCAATTCTTGCCAACACATGCCAGCACATGCGCGCACGGCGCAGCTGTGCCTTTTTCACTGTCCGGGATGGAGAAGTTCATAGGGCTGTCCTCTACGAGACGCATCTCAATTAATTTTATAGGTAAATTGCTGCACCAAACAGCCCAATGTGAAACGTTGAGAACCTGTGTTCCTTGCAGGTTGCGGTCGCAAAACGCTTTCATGGCCTTAGATGATAGCTCAAGGGAACGGCAAAGTTTCTCGGATGTCACAAGGAAATAACGCCAAATCCAAACAAATCCAAGTCTATAGCCTATAGCAATTCTGGCGTGCATGGCTTCGAGTTTCACTGGCAAGCACAAGTTCCAAAAGTCTTAAGTGGACATCTTGAGCTTGTGGCTTCGCAAGTCTCAAGCAGAGATGTGCAATCTGTTGTCCTCAGCTTGGAGAGGTGTCTAAATCAGGACGGCTGGCGATTGAACGAGGGAACAACTTCTTCCTATCTTCATTCAACTTTCAATGGTCTGGCGCGGAAAGCACCACGAGCCTCTGCAAGTCGAGTCTGAACAACTGAAACCACTCTGCAGGTGAAATCACTGGAACCGTCGCTACCCAGTTGTGATGCACATGGAGATCAGGTAAGAGCCCTGCGTCTCAGCCTTGAGCAAAGGGATGGCAACGTCAAAGAGCTCCTAAAGCAACAGGTTGAAAGCACCACCAACTTCACCAACTTGAAAAATGAAGAACGAGACAATACAAAGTAGCAGTAGCATGCAGTAGCATGCAGTAGCATGCAGTAGCAGTAACCTCAGAAGAGGCAACAGGATCGTGGGATCCGACAAGGTTGACTGGTGAAACACATCAATCGGACCTGGATGCTATACTCTTACTCTTGACCCCTTCCGGCGTCCGCGCTCGATCATGATGGCATCTTATGTTGCAGGTGGAAATGACAATCAAATGCATTTGAACGAAGAGGTTGCAAAATAGCGTCAGGATGTGGGCTAGTCGTTTCATGTCGTTTGTAGTCGTTGGTAGTCGTTGCTAGTCTGGTTGCTTGTTTTTTGGCGGGGATACGTCAAAGAAAGTCGAGTCAATTGTCTGATTGTCTTTTCTTTTTGCTTCTGTCGTGTCTTATTTTTCTCATTAGCGCTCCTTGGCCTCCGTGTAGCGACCACCCCAGGATTTCAGCTCAGCCGCTGCCTGGCTAAAACCGCCCTAACCTCTATCTGCAAGCTCCAGAAAATAGACATCCGAAAGTGAAGAGGAATGGCCCGACACGTGACACCACTAATGCAACAATGAAGTACAGGAAGGCAGATACACGGACTGCAAGGGAGTGCAAACTGGGGAGTAAGACTAAGAACCCAATACTCTCAGGCTCTTCTGCTACTTTGAGCCGGACAAAGTTCAGCCAAGTCACAGGCTAAGAAATGTAATGGCCAGAAACTGTAAAAACAACAGTACAAGCAAGGCATGAGTGGGCAGGTTAAGCGCAGGCATCCTAATTTCAGACGCGCTTTTCACAATTTGCAGCAGCGTATGAAACACAAGCTGTGCAATCCACGACTGCGCCTTGTAGTAAACAGCTGCATTGCCGTCCTTCAAAACCGAGGCCATAATATTGAAGGGCATGAAAGGTGGACATCAGACAAGGTGAAAGAATCTTCTCCCTGTCAGCCAAGGTACCACTTCTGGTCACTTTCTGTAAGAACAAACTACGACGATCTTCACCAAACTGTCGTGTCTTTTTCAAACCTTCGATTAAAGGTAGTTTCGTCATCGTGCCCTACGGGTATTGTTCCACAACACGCTCTCTCTGAATTCTTGCTTCCGCACGCCCCAACTTGAGATGCACACCCCCATGCCAATAGCAAAAGCAAAAGGCCAGTTACAATCAAAAGGTCATGGAACGCTTTGTTTGTATTCGGAAGTTGCGTTGCTCCCTGTCAAAAACAAACTTTTTCAACTAAACTGACCAAATATGATCAATGCCCAAATCATTTCAGCCGTCTTTCCCCGACCTGTGGCAGCTCCTTTCGCACTCTCCCTACCACCTTGGGCAAAACAGAAGTTGATCCAAAAAGCAGCAGTCAAATCTGACAGGCCAGGCGGCTAGGCATAAAATTTAGGCGGTGTATACAGATACTATTATCAGCATGCAAATGTGCGAACTGGGCTCAAACATCTGGAGCAAAAACACCCGCCATCAGGGATCAGACATAGTCAGTTGTGGCAAAGTAGTCGGCAAACCTCTGATTTGGGATTTGGGCTTTTGCAGCGCTTAATCGACAAAGAAATACGGTGCCATGGCGTTGAATGAGATATTGCAAGGTTCTGAAGGAGGGGCGCAACACTGAGATCACTGTGGCAGGCACTTGGCGCGATCGATGTTTGCAGTCTCTTTCAAATGCCTGAAAGGAATGCGGCAGACTGTGCATGATTCCGGCGCATCATTGAAGACCAAATGCTCGCTCTTGTGCGGCGCGCAACATTGTCAGGGTATATGACCATCATTACTGTGATAAACTTCATTAGAACTTGGCACAACGCGAGTGACCATTCTGCGCTTGAGTGTTTTCTCAGCACTCAACGTGTCCATAAGCAGGTTGTGTACCTAGAGAGGCGATGAAAGGCTTGCAAATGATTCGGCAAATGAATGCAAATGATGCATCTTTCACAGCTGAGAACAGTGAAAGTGTGATTTCATCTCTTATGGCTACGAGTGATCTAGCATCTAGCCGTGCCTCCAGTAATGTAACAAGATCCCAGGCGTCCTGCATTACGGACAGGCTACAGTGAAAAAACAAGCTTGAAGTGGCCTTATACAGGACTCGTAGAGACTTGCTGACTTGCCTCTTCAAGGCCACTTTGAGGCCCTTTCGAGGCCCCTTCTACGTCTTTTCAACGGGCAAACATGAAATTTGGGCTGCGTAGCTGTCAATACATTTTGCACAGCTTGGGGCCTTCATGGCTTCAAGCTCATAGGCCCTCTTCAAGGCCTGTTGTTTTGGCAAAGCAAAAATAAGTAAGTAAAGGACAAAATGAGCTTTCCTCTCCAAAGTTGGTTGAAATACGAGATATATACCCACTGGACACCTACTCAAAAAACAAAAACACAAAAAAACAAAAACATCAAAACTTCGTATTGCATTCCAATATCAGCTTGTTCTCGCTCACTGTGGTGTCCATTCTGCCCCGCATCCCTCAGCTCGTGTCTTCGGTTCAGGACCTAAAACATGTAAAATTTAAATCAGTTAAAAGCATCCTAAAGCTATTTAAAGCTACTCTAGAGGTGAACAATGCAGGGAGCCGACGCACGCCCAATCACATCAGCTCCCTGCGGCAATTTTTCGGCTGCCACAAGCAAAGGCAGACTCATAGAGATGGCACAAACAACCTACGTTGTCATCCTCGCCAACGTCTGGACAGCACTTCACTTCGCAGTTCTTAACTTAGCCTCTTGACCAGAAACCATAACATGTAGCACTGCATGAAGTGACTCAGAAATTGAGAGGCGCATGCGCATGCGCATGCCCAAGGGACTTTGACGTTCACAGTGTGCAGACTTCTGACGCATTTTTTTGAAGGTTGAATGAGGGAGCCATGTAGGAAGCTTGGAACTGAAGTGCTTTGAAGCTTGCCATGTTCAATGCAGGAACTGGTCGTACCTGTCGCTTCTTTGCAGTTTGCTGTATCATGCGTCAGCTGCAGAACGTTGCGTTGAGTCAGCGTTGTGAAATCGATCCCCGACGACATCCAGAGCCTGATGGAGCGTCTTCCCTCTTGCCAACATCTCTGACAATAATACCTGCACATGCTGATGTTGAAGGTACTGACGTAGTGTTTTGGCGTACTTGGGTATGCGGTCAGCTGGTTTGATGTCGGTATCAATAACAGTCAAACGTCCCCACAAGCCAGTCTCTCCAACTGGGGCATATCCAAGACTTTCATAGGAGTCAAGATCTTCACCATGTTCTTGCCGTCGTACGTTGACGATCAATGACATGTCATGAATGGCGCGGCCCAGCAAGAACAATGCCAGCACCAGGTCTGGATGCACTGCTAAAGCATGGTATGCATCCAACACGAGGCCCATGGCTACTCTATCGCAGGATGTTTTCTGCAAGTCGTCGAGGAGCGACTTCACAGGATTCACAGGCTTCTTAATGCACTTCCCTTCGGTGTCATCTGTGTCGTCATCATTTTTTGCCTCGTAATTCAGCGCCTTTTCAAAAGCCGCCGCGCTGAGTTCCTTCGGTGACCCCGCCGCCTCGTAGAGCTGCTGCATCAAGTCTTCCACAGCGCGACCAGCGGCCAACAAAGCCAAGGCTCGCAGCTTTCCGAACAGCTCACCAGAGTTGAAAAGCACCTGAAAAACAGAATTGCCACAGAATGGTCACAGAATTTTCAGAGTCAGAGTTATCAACGTATATCAAGGTCTTCACCGTCACCGTTTTGAAGGATTCACAATGAATGATTCAAACTGATTTTAAAAAAAACAGTGTGATTCCGTTCTCAAGCATCGTCAAAGACAAATTGCAAAACTGCACTTCAACACCAACTACTCAGAGAGTGCTGCGACAATTTGGCTAGGACTGCATGTCGGCTGGGAGGCACATGACAATGACATGCTTGGCCATGGATCTTAGATCCCCTGGGCCCTAGGCATTCCAGCAAATAAAGAAGGCAACATAGCAGCTTCACAAATGAACCTTACTTGGTTGCAACAAGTTTCAGGGTCCGTAATACTCATGCCACACATGCTGGCGGCGTGCCCCTTCAAACAGCGTGAGCAAAAAGTATCTAATGAGGTCTTCTGCCTCGCTTAGCAGCTGCTAACGCGGGGTTTTTGAAAGGCAGACAAATCAGAAAATATAAGCAATTCTGCGATTCTGCGCCTCACACAAATCATCCAATGCAGCATCAGGCACCAGGTGAGCGTCACCAGTCTGCCCCAGCAGTCGAAAGTTGTTTTGTCTAGCATCCCTGCTTGCCCCTCGCAGAAAATCTAGCTCTTCCCGAAGTTGCTGCTTGTTTTGGTGAAGCACTGCCCGAAAAAAACGCACTGGATTGTATTTCGACAAAGACTTCTTCTTCATTGGGTAATCAATGCACTGCAACATCGTAAAGCGTGGGATATCAGGAACTCCGCATTCCGGCACGCCACAATCTGCAATACCAACTTTGGGTTTGATCTCAAAGCTGAGGCCATTTGGGCAATAGCTCAAATCAGTGCACAGCATTGCTGACATATCTGGATCATCCAAGTCGACAACATTCACAGCCTCTGCATCATTCTCAATGCGATCAGGTGGTCGGGCGCTTTGGATCACATCACTTTTGATGAAAGCACTCAGCTCAGCATCAACTTGCATAAGACGTCCAGGCTTTATATAGCCATCCTAGCATGCAACAAAAAAAGAGGTACAGTAGTACAGAAAACAAATAATCTGTGCTCTACCAGAGGTCTGGGAGGAAAAGAGGGCTTGGAAAGTGGTTCTAAGTGATTACGCTTAGGTGCCAACAAGGGTTGCAAAACGGACCGTTGAAAATGCGAATCCTCCTGGATTTGCCTTTTGGCCTCGTGATTCTTGACGCCCTTGCGCAACCGAAGCACACAGCCTCGAAAATCATCGCAGTCGCCCGTGTATCTCAACACCAGGTTCGCACCTCCTTCATTGACATACTCCCATAGCAGTCCTGCTTTGGAGATGTGGCTAGACATAATAGCGCTGGCAAGTTTCGTTTGGGCACGACCGGAGCCGAGAGCTGCAGGATGAAACATCAATCCAACCGTTTTGCCTTCCAATGCTTTCATTTCTTCCTAGACTACTCTGCTTTGCATCCCATGAAGACTTGACATCTTTTTCCAGTGTTCATGAGTCTGTCATGTTCCCGAGAGATATTTGCTGCCTTCTGCGCATCTTCTCGCTTTCTCTGCCCCCACAGTACTTTTCCGAGTTCATGATAGGCACTGGCCGTCAAAGGCCTCAAAGTGAGCAATGATCCCTTGGAATTTGGGCCGAACCGACACAACATATAGCTCCGTCAACTAGGTTCACCACGATGTCTCGCCACAGGTGATCTGTCAGATACACAACTAAAATCGGTTGGATTATATTTACACGCGTGGGACACACGCACACACAGATTCAAGTAACGCTTCTAGACAATGTATAGATGGAAATAGTTATGGTCACCGACAGAATTTTGGAAATGGAAAAAAGGTTCGACATGGGCAAGCAAACAACTGCGGCGTGCCGGGGCCGTATTTTTCCATAATTCTGTTTTACTGATAAAAATGCACACCTCAAAAATCGGTAATACCTTGTATACCGAACCTTTTTGGAAGGGGGCGTGCTGCAGTTAAATTTCCATATATATTTTTTCCACGTGAGGGTGCTTCTTGGCATATGACCATTTCCATAATTATTTGTTTCCTGAAAGGGTGACAACTTTTCTATTGACATGTTTCCATAATTCTTTTGGCCATGGCTACAGTGCATGATTATGGCTACAGTAGCATCAGTGGGAGATGTTTGGAGGATAAGGATCCCAAAACTGAATCTGGATTTTGTCCCAAAATCATGCAAATTTGCTGTAAACCAGGTAGTTTGGAGGATCAGGGTCCGAAAAGTAAGATTTCCAAAATTGTTTTTGCATCGTGGACTAGAAGCTTTTGTAGACATTTGTTTCATCCTGTTTTTTTGAAGGATCAGGATCCAAAAACTGAACCTGGATTTAGTCCCAAGATCATGCAAATACGCTGTAAACCAGGTAGTTTGGAGGATAAGGATAACAAAGCTGAATCTGGACCCAGTTCCAAAATCATGCAAAAACATTCAAAACTAGGTAGTTTGGAGGATCAGGGTCCGAAAAGTAAGATTTCCAAAATTATTTTTGCATCGTGGATTAGAGGCTTTTGAAGACATTTGTCTCATCCTTTTTTTTGAAGGATCAGGATCCAAAAATTTAATCTAGATTTTGTCCCAAGATCATGCAAATACGCTGTAAACCAGCTGGTTTGGAGGATCAGGATTCGAAAATTGAATCTAGATTTAGTCCCAAGATCATGCAAATACACTGTAAACAAGGTGGTTTGGAGGATAAGGATCCCAAAACTGAATTTGGATTTAGTCCCAAAATCATGCAAAAACACTCAAAACCAGGTAGTTTGGAGGATCAGGGTCCGAAAAGTAAATTTTCCAAAATTAATTTTACATCGTGGATTAGAGGCTTTTGTAGACATTTGTATACATTTGTTTCATCCTTTTTTTTGAAGGATCAGGATCCGAAAACTTAATCTAGATTTAGTCCCAAGATCATGCAAATAAACTGTAAACAAGGTGGTTTGGAGATGTTTGGAGGATAAGGATCCCAAAACTGAATCTGGATTTCGTCCCAAAATCATGCAAGTTTGCTGTAAACCAGGTATTTTGGAGGATCAGGGTCCGAAAAGTAAGATTTCCAAAATTCATTTTGCATCGTGGATTAGAAGCTTTTGTAGACATTTGTTTCACCCTGTTTTTTTGGAAGGATCAGGATCCAAAAACTGAACCTGGATTTAGTCCCGAGATCATGCAAATACGCTGTAAACCAGGTAGTTTGGAGGATAAGGATAACAAAGCTGAATCTGGACCCAGTTCCAAAATCATGCAAAAACATTCAAAACTAGGTAGTTTGGAGGATCAGGGTCCGAAAAGTAAGATTTCCAAAATTATTTTTGCATCGTGGATTAGAGGCTTTTGAAGACATTTGTTTCATCCTTTTTTTTGAAGGATCAGGATCCAAAAACTGAATCTAGATTTAGTCCCAAGATCATGCAAATACGCTGTAAACCAGCTGGCTTGGAGGATCAGGATTCGAAAACTGAATCTAGATTTAGTCCCAAGATCATGCAAATACACTGTAAACAAGGTGGTTTGGAGGATAAGGATCCCAAAACTGAATTTGGATTTAGTCCCAAAATCATGCAAAAACACTCAAAACCAGGTAATTTGGAGGGTCAGGATCCGAAAAGTAAGATTTCCAAAATTAATTTTACATCGTGGATTAGAGGCTTTTGTAGACATTTGTATACATTTGTTTCATCCTTTTTTTTGAAGGATCAGGATCCGAAAACTTAATCTAGATTTAGTCCCAAGATCATGCAAATACGCTGTAAAGCAACTGGTTTGGAGGATCAGGATCCGAAAACTGAATCTAGATTTAGTCCCAAGATCATGCAAATAAACTGTAAACAAGGTGGTTTGGAGATGTTTGGAGGATAAGGATCCCAAAACTGAATCTGGATTTTGTCCCAAAATCATGCAAGTTTGCTGTAAACCAGGTAGTTTGGAGGATCAGGATCCGAAAAGTAAGATTTCCAAAATTCATTTTGCATCGTGGATTAGAAGCTTTGTAGACATTTGTTTCATCCTGTTTTTTAGGAAGGATCAGGATCCAAAAACTGAACCTGGATTTAGTCCCAAGATCATGCAAATACGCTGTAAACCAGGTAGTTTGGAGGATAAGGATCCCAAAACTGAATCTGGATTTTGTCCCAAAATCATGCAAAAACATTCAAAACATTTCAAAACTAGGTGGTTTGGAGGATCAGGGTCCGAAAAGTAAGATTTCCAAAATTATTTTTGCATCGTGGATTAGAGGCTTTTGAAGACATTTGTTTCATCCTTTTTTTGAAGGATCAGGATCCAAAAATTTAATCTAGATTTTGTCCCAAGATCATGCAAATACGCTGTAAACCAGCTGGTTTGGAGGATCAGGATTCGATAATTGAATCTAGATCTAGTCCCAAGATCATGCAAATACACTGTAAACAAGGTGGTTTGGAGGATAAGGATCCCAAAACTGAATTTGGATTTAGTCCCAAAATCATGCAAAAACACTCAAAACCAGGTAGTTTGGAGGGTCAGGATCCGAAAAGTGAGATTTCCAAAATTAATTTTACATCGTGGATTAGAGGCTTTTGTAGACATTTGTATACATGTGTTTCATCCTTTTTTTTGAAGGATCAGGACCCGAAAACTGAATCTAGATTTAGTCCCAAGATCATGCAAATACGCTGTAAAGCAACTGGTTTGGAGGATCAGGATCCGAAAACTGAATCTAGATTTAGTCCCAATAAGATCATGCAAATAAACTGTAAACAAGGCGGTTTGGAGATGTTTGGAGGATCAGGATCCAAAAACTGAATCTGGATTTTGTCCCAAAATCATGCAAGTTTGCTGCAAACCAGGTGGTTTGGAGGATAAGGATCCCAAAACTGAATCTGGATTTTGTCCCAAAATCATGCAAATACGCTGTAAACCAGGTGGTTTGGAGGATGAGGGTCCCAAAAACAATCAAAACCAGGTAGTTTGAAGGATCAGGATCCGATAAGTAAGATTTCCAAAATTAATTTTGCATCGTGGATTAGAGGCTGTTGTAGACATTTGTCTCATCCTTTTTTCTTTTTAGAGGATCAGGATCCGAAAATTGCTATTTCCAAAATTATTTCTTTTGAAAGTCCGTAATGTCGCTAATCTTTTGTCTTGGTTTCGGTCCCGAACCTTTTCCGATACCTGCGGCGCGCGAACCTTTTTTCATTTCCAAAATTCTGTCGGTGACTGTATTTACTTTTTGGGTTAGTTAGTTTGTTATGTATGCATTATGCATCTTCTGTATACATATACATGTATGTATATGTATATATTACGCATTATATCACGCTACGGTGAAAATTTCCGCCAACGCGCGCTCAATTATAGCATGCATTAATAGTTTGTCTTAAAAGTATATATATATATATGTGTGTGTGCGTGCATGCATGCATGCATGGATGTATGGATGTATCTATGCATGCATGCATGGATGGATGTATGCATGCATGCATGCATGTATATGTGTGTGTGTGTATGTGTGTGTCTGTGTGTCTGTGTGTCTGTCTGTCTGCATGCATGCATGCATGTATGCCTGTATGCATGCATGCATGTATGCATGTATGGATGTATGGATGTATGGATGTATGGATGTATGTATGTATGCAGGCATGCATGCATGAATGTATGCATGCATGCATGCATGCATGTATGTATATGTGTGTATGTGTGTATGTGTGTATGTGTGTCTGTCTGTCTGTATGTATGCATGCATGCATGCATGCACGCATGCATGTATGCATGTATGCATGTATGCATGTATGCATGTATGCATGTATGGATGTATGGATGTATGGATGTATGGATGTATGGATGTATGGATGTATGGATGTATGTATGTATGTATGTATGTATATGTATGTATATGTATGTAACATATGTGTATGTATGTATGTATGTATGTATGTATGTATGTATGTATGTATGTATGTATGTATGTATGTATGTATGTATGTATGTATGTATGTATGTATGTATATTCATGATACCCCAAACCCAAAAAACATAGGTCTTCGTTGTAGAAAAATTGGCAATAGGAGAGGGTTGCCATACACATGTTTTGGGAAAAGTAGCAGGTGATACTCTAGTCTATCGTATCAGACTTTAAGTCACTTTTAAGTCCCACTAGGTGCTGGTCTTGCATATGTGTATTATATAGGGTATTCTTGGTCACAGGACTGTCAAGTAACTTTACAGTACCACCTGCACCCTGGAATCAAGAATCAAAATTCCCCACTGGTTTCATTTCAAATCTTGAACCGCGATTCAAGATTCCCCTAAAATATGTTGCTGGCAATCCTGAATCTTAAATCCCAAGTACTGGTTCAAGATTCCACGCGACAAAAAGAACATTCTTTTGGCAATCTTGAATATTGAATTCCAATAGGAGTTTACGGTGACTTCAGGGTCACCAAATTTCCCCAATTACTCCAAGCACACAACTGATGATTTCAAAAAGCGATTGTTTGTGCACATTGGCTGCACGTGGTGTCCATCGCAGAATTTCTTGCATAGAGGATTGTTGGATCAAGGTGTCGTCTCAACATCCCTCATAACTTCGAAGTGCCCACCCCTGTCTCATGGAATTTTCAAAGGTTGCTGAAAGGAAGAGGGTGAACACAATAGTAGTTACACATGTGATGAGCTGCAGTTTAAAACCATGCAGGAAATGACACATAGTAAAGACTCCAAGACTCACTGTAAACCATCGATATCATACAGGGTTGGGAGAGAAGAAAGTAAGAATGTATATCTACATATACAAAAGCGATTGAATAAGCAGTGATAGAACTCACACAGTTGTAAAATGTTGTAAAGGTTGCATATTTGCGCTTAGGTTCTTGAGAACACGGATCATTGAAATTAAAATGTATTCATTATTCATCTAGTACTGATATCGAAACCTCCAAAAACTGATTTGCATTTTTCAAAACACCTGCCAAGATGCATCGGCTCAAATGAAGTAAAGTAGGAAAGCAACTATTTTATAAGCGGGGGATGTACTAATTCACGCAACAAATCTCAATCTAAAGTTTGAATATGACAAAACAGCTGCAGGCAAAAACGGCAAAAAAGACGAAGAAGGCTCATACATATTCATACGAACAATGGTTTTGTACATGTGGAAGAACATATGCACACCCATTCATACATTTGTTTAAAATTTTAAAACAAGCTTCCGTGGCATCTCCAACAGCAACCCTATCCATTTTGATCATTATTTGGCTGCAACTGAACACATGCGCTTACTTTCCGCTGCGCGACAACCTTCCTGAACCTGATTGGGGAACTGCACCGGAACCTTCCGTAACATGACCTGGGAACCGCACCAAAAGTGACCTGGGAACTGCACCAGAATGGGCACTGCCCACCGGAACCTTCTGGAACCTGACCTGGGAACTGCACGGAACATGGGAACTGCACCGGAACCTGGGGACCCTTCTGGAACCTGACCCGGGAACTGCGCCGAAATAACCTGGGAACTGCGGTGGAAGCAAGAAAGTGACGCGGAACCATGGGCACTCCACCGGCGGAACCGCACCAGAACCTTCCGCCTAACCGCGTGCGGCAAAGCCTTTCCCGTCCACCTTCCGGGGCACGTTTTGTCCTGGTATTGGCATTGGTATTGGCATTGGTGTTTGAGGGTCGGCAATAAATATAATCAATTGCCTAGGACAGGCAAGCTTCAGTTTCGGTTCCCACAGGCCAATGCGTGGTCACTAAGCACTAACTCTCAACCCGCCATGTCCGGGCTGGCCATGGTGTGTGCGTTTGTCCGGTGGTTTGGGGGGGGAGTGGGAGACGGGGGTGAGGTGAGGGTGAGTGTGAGAGTGGGTGCGGATGGAGTGGAGAGAGTTGTGCAGAGAGAAGGTGGAGAGGAGTGAGAGTATATGTGAGGGTGTGAGGGTGTGAGGAGGGAGGGTGTGAGGGTTGTGAGGGAGTGTAGTCAGTGGGGTGGTGGAGCGGTGGAGGGGATGTGTGAGGCTGGGTGTGGAGAGTGGTCATGTATGTAAGTATAGGGGGAGGTGAAGTTGTGGGAGGGTGTGTGTAGGGGAGGTGTGTGGTGTGTGAGGGGTGATGTGAGTGGTGTGTGGAGTGGTGTGAGTGGGTGTGTGTGTGTGAGTGATGTGTGTGTGTAGTGGAGTGTGTGTGTTGGTAGAGTGTGTGTTGTAGTGTGAGTGTGTGTGTGTGTGTGGAGTGTGTGTGTGTGTGGGGCTTGTTGTGGGTGTGAGTGTGTGTGTGTGAGTGTTTTGGTTGAGCTGTGTGTGGGCTGAGTGAGGGGTTGTGTGTGGGTGTGTCGAGTGTGTGTTGTGAGGGGGTGTGGTGGTTGAGGTGTACAGGGTGGTGGTGCGGAGGGTGTTGTGGTGTGAGTGTGGGTGAGTGAGTGTGTGTGTTGAGTGGGTGTGCTAGGTGGATGTGGGGGTAGTGAGTGCTGTGGGGGCTGTGCGCTGAGTGTTGTGTGGATTGTTGGTGAGTTGTGTCGATGAGGGGAGTGTGTGGGGATGCGGGGTGTGTGTTGGAGGGTGTGGGGTGCGTGAGCGGTGTCGTAGAGTGTGAGGGTTGTGTGGGAGGTGTGTGACGTGGGTGTGAGGGTGAGTGTGTGTGTGTCGTGTGAGCGGTGTGTGTGTGTGAGTGTGAGGTGTGAGCAATTTCGTTTCCCCGTGTGGAGGTTGTTGAGACGTGTGAGTGGTGAGTAGTGTGCGAGGAGTGAGTGGCGGGGGACACGGGAGCAGAGCTCTGTGAGTGGAGAGAGGGGACGGGGAGTGGGGAGAGAGAGGGTGAGTTACTATGTGAGAGCGTGTGAGTGTGGAGAGCGTGTTGTGCGTGTGCGCGAGTGGAGTGCAGGTGTGAGAGAGAGAGTGTGAGTGTGCGAGCGTGTGCGTGTGAGGCGTAGTGGAGACAGAGGCGCATGGTCGTGAGTCGGAGTGTGAGAGATTGTGAGAGTTGTGCGTGGCGCGTGTGAGTGTGCGTGTGGCGCGGTGTGCGTGTAGTTGCGCGTGTGGTGAGGTGCCGTGGGGTGTGTGAGAGTGGGCGTGGTGTGCGCCGTGGGAAAGTGTGGTGCGCGTGGGCGTGTGCAGCGTACAAGGCGGGGACTAAAGTGAGCGTGGGAGGTGAGAGAGGGGGAGTGAGAGTGCGGAGTGAGAGTGGGAGATTCTGGTGGCGTGTGGGTGTGGGTTGTGAGTGGTGGTGTTGTGTGGTGTCGGTGGTGTGAGGGGTTGTGCGGTTGTGGGAGAGGGGGAGGTGTGTGAGGGCGTGGGGCGGGTTTGCGGTGTGGAGGGTGTGGGCGGGGCGTGGTGGGTGAGTGGTTGGTTGGGGGGGGCGTGTTGTGTGGTGCGGGTAGTGTGTGTGTGATTGTGTTGCTGTGTGTGTGTGAAGTGGGTGGGTGCGTGTATGGGTGTGAGTGCGTGTGTGCGTGCGTGTGCGTGTGCGTGTGCGTGTGCGTGTGGGTGTGCGGGTGTGGGTGTGGGTGCGGGTGTGGGTGTGCGTGTGTGCGTGTGGGTGTGTGTGTGCGTGTGTGCGTGTGTGTGTGTGTTTTTTTGCGACCCCACGACTCTTTCAAGTCGGCAAGCAAGCCACACGTGGAAATTGTTGTACCACGGCCTTCTGTTGCACTTTGCAGGTCCAGCAGTGAACAGAAGGTCTTATCCAGCTATGCTAGGCCCTTAGGCCACCGTCAGATCAAAAAGATCTAATTTTCCAACGCCAAAAGCTCAGATTTAAGAGCAGCAAGGAATGTAAAAAGACATGCAAAGACATGCAAGGTGAAAAGAGAAACGCCAAAAGGAGATGTCCATCAAGTGAATTAGACAGGAGTCCTAAGGAGTCCAAAGAGGTGAAAAAGGCCTAAAGAAAACATCCAATGCAACAGGAATGAAACTCTCCCATGCAAATGGAAGCCCCTCTCAGCCGCTGCAACGCAAGAGCTCAGCAGCTGCTCAGCAGGCGTGCACCACTCTGCCCAGCAACCACTCTGCCCAGCCAGCGCACCACTTTGCACCACTCTGCCCAGCAGCCAGTGTCACGTGCCCAAGCTCGTGAGAGAAGCTGCCGCAGAAGCTGTTGCAGACAAAGGAGTCCTCGCTAAATGATCGACGAAGACCTTCGAAAGGTCCAGTGAAAGAGTAAGCCCTCCATAGAGCTCAGGCTGTGGTTCTCCTGGGGAGGTAGGCGAATTGTGGTGCCATTTGCAGAAGCCACCACGTCTCCTGTGCCACCCGGTTTGGGGAGGAACGTCAAGAAGCCGTCGCTCCACTCTTTGGGTAGCGTTGTACAATGTTTCATACCACTTTTGCAACATGTCGGCGGCAGCTTGGTACAGTCTGAAATGATCTTTGGCACGTTCAGCTTCATCAGCCTGCAACAGTGAAGAAATATCACATGTGTTGATAGGAAGTTCACGCAATTCACGTTCATGATGTTGAAACGCCACCATAGGAGCAGCTGTGGGTGGGATACCGGACACCTTTGACGATAGGTCCATGCATTGGCATAAACTTGTTGAGCTGGGGGTGTCCATCTCCTCTTTGGCAGTTTGGTCAGCATGAACTTGTCTGCAACAGATGTAGTCCAACCTGATTGTCTTCGTCCATTGTGCACAAATTGTCCAGATCCAACCACCTGGCATAGTCGTTTCGAAACCATGCAGAGGATACCAGCCTGGGCCAAGCCACCACTGTTCCATGTGAGGCATAGCATTCTCTGCCGTTGATGCCTCTTTGAAGGTTGCACCGTCGGAGTGCTTGCAGTGACATGGGATTCAGAAGGAGAGCAAACTGAGGCTGATCTGGAGGATGTGGTGAACAAGCGGCCTCTGTACCATGTGTAGCCGCATTGCATGGCCCTCCGAACAGCCCTTCGATAGCTTCTCTTAACAGTTGGTTTAGCATAGCTGGATGGTCCTAAGACCGTCTTGGGCCCCTCTCCATGTTCTTTCGCTACCAGGGAGGCCAGCTCCAAGATAGCTCCTTCACCATCCATGGAAATGATGAAACCCTCACCTCTGACAACGGCAGGTGTTGTTGATTGAATCAATAAGAAAATCAAAGAAAAAAATGCTAAATGTCACCAGTAGGAGCCGTTGCCCACGGACTTGGGACCGTGCTGCACCAATTGCTTGCGCAAGGTCGAAGGTACACCTGTGTGGTTGCTGCAATCTCGATGTCTGAAATCCAAATGATCTATACCAGGAGGTCGGTCGTCTCCAAAACTGTTGTACACTCTCGCAAATAGTCTGATAGGCACTGTTGTAAGATTGCAAGGGCTCGTTGGCCAGCAGGCAAAAATACGCCAGAAACCAAAACAGAATTGCACCAGCAAAATTAATGAAAGTCACCAAAATTGGGCCAGTGAGTGTAAACAGGGGAGCCCACCCCAAAACAAGATTATGGTCCAGTGAAGTCGTGATGTTACAGGGAGACCACCCCCGACAATGCCAAAGGACTCCCGGATGAAGTACCCCAGCGGCAGGAGGATTCGAAGTTCAGCAGCACGACAGCTGCCCACACGCGCCCAGGCCAGGGCCGCCAAGCTGCGCAACAGCAAAGGAGGCCACCACCACGTGCCAGCAGCACAGAAACGAGCGTGGGGACTGCTATCAGGTGTCCGCGACCCTTGAGCGCACCGCTCGTGGGTGCAGAGAGGCTTGTTTGTGTGTGTGTGTTTTTTTCCACACACGCCTATTTTGCATCTGCATAGGTCAGTGCAAGACCACATTGACTTTGTGTCAACGGTTCCAATAGGAATCTTTCTGGCCTCACCATTGAAGAAACGTAAGATTGTTCCATATGGAAACAGTCATGGAAAATGAAACAAAAAGACCATTGAGATTTCATCGTTGGCGCTCTGCCATCGTTGTTGCCTGGAGCAATGCAATAATGGCGGCCGTAGTTTCATCCATAGGCACAGGCTCAGGGACTGAGGTCAGGTTGAGTTCAGTCGGGCCTGTCGGTTGAGCCTGTGGTGCACTATCAGAAGGAGCATCAGTGATATCATCATCCGGCATCTGTGGCAGAGGTCGATATGTGTGAAGGTTCACACAGTCTGCACGCACAAGCCAGAAGACCGTAGCGCAACTGCTGAATCTATCAGGTACCTGCCATGTTGGTGTGGCTGCAATCCCGTCATTGGTGATGAGCCAATGCATAGGTCCACCTGTAACCTGGACCGCAGGTCGGGTTTTCAGAATGGCCTGAAAATGGCCTCCTTGATCAACTCCCATGTGTGCCGTGGCAGCAAGGACCACGTACGCAACAGCTTCCCTACGGAGGGTTCCATCCACAAAAACAGGAATATCACAGCCAGCTTCAAGGTTGATCATGCATGAACTCTTCTGAATGCATCCATCAAGTTCATAGTAGCGATCCAAATGAAGGCATAGGCAGGTTGGAGCTTGGGTCAGGGCCGCAATCATACCATCTGCCTGCATCCAGCGTCGAACAAGGTCTGTCAGTGTAAACTGCATTTCAGGCAAATGTGCATTCACAGCTGAAAAGGAGATGTTGATTGGCATGAATGTCTCACCATGGTCAATTGTGCGCACGGCGTTCATTTCTTCCAGTCTGCGCTCCCAGTACATGTTGACTGCAGGAGCATTCAACCATTTCAAAACAGCAGCTGCAAATTCGGACGCATCTTGCTGTTGACCCCGTTGAACCCCTGTGTAGGCTTCCCACGTTTGCAAAATCTGTTCAAACCCATCCAAATCAGTCAGAGCAACCAGTTGCAAATTGTGACATGGTAGAAATTGAATCATGACTGCAAATTGGGTGCCCAGGGAGGCTGTGTCACACTGCATGGACATCATAGTCCATAATAAGCACAAAATGGTGCTGTTGGCATAGCACCAATTGGCATCGTTACGCAGGCACAGATGGCTCACAACATGGAGCAGCATTGTCAGTGATGGGCTCACTTCTGCTGCAGCTGCTTGGAGGGCTGTTTGGACTTGCCCTTTCCCTTCCCCTTTCGAGTCTGATGACCCAGGGCTTGTTGAATCGTGTCCGCAAGACCACATTGAGTCAGGGAGTGAGGCTTGAGCATTGTCCCGATCAGGGTCCATAGGCTGCATCTCGAGAGGCGGTTCAGCAGCTCCCATTCCCGATCCGCCCTTGGATTCAGTTGCAGTCTCCAGGGGCATGTTGGGGCTTCCTGATTGGTCTGAAGTGACCTGAAGCTCATGACCAGTTCCGGGTCCTTGAACATCTCCACCAGCTCCTTGACGTGCTGAGTCATCAGAGTCATGCTGATGGGGCTCTTGTGGCTGGTGTGCAAGGTTTTGGTGGCTGCATTCCATTCCAGAAAAGGCCAGTTCCCCTCGCTGTCGATCACCTGACTCTGCACAGAGGTTTGGAATAGTGGGTCTCCAGGTTTGGCTTCGGAGATCTTCAGCACCTTCACCATCAAGTCCTGGAACAGGCATTGCGTCAGGTGCTGACGCAGTGTCATCAGGGGCACTGTCGTTGTCTTGCGCTGCTCTTGCCATGTCTGTGTTGCATTCACCAATCCCTGCAGACCGCCCTTGGGATCTCGATTGAAAAAAGTATGAAGCTGTCCGCTCTGCGACTTTGGTTGAGGTCTCGATCGTGTCGAAGGACCAGCAATGCCAGCTGCTGGACTAGGGCCAGCAGTTGCGGCTGCGCCGGAAGCTGCACTTCTGGGCGATCCTGTTGGGCTGGCTGTTGGTGAGCGCCGTGGTTGTGCTTGCTGCGTTTTGGCTCTCTTGGATTGGGGGCCAGCTGAGCGGTGCCGAGCAGAGGTGCCAGGCCCTTGAACGTTTCCAACACTTGCTGATGGGCCAGCAAGTCTGACGCTGTCATCAAGGAGTCGTCCATCATTCAGCAGGCCAGTCAAGAAGAGCGCTATCTGCTGTGTGTGTGTGTGCGCGTGTGTGCGTGTGTGCGTGTGTGCAGTGCGTGTGCGTGTGCGTGTGCGTGTGCGTGCGCGTGCGCGTGCGCGTGCGCGTGTGTCACATGCATTTCGCCTTCGGGCCACCACACCCAATAGCGCAGTTGATCATGTCCTCCAATAATCAAAGATGTGGGCAATGCATTGAAATGCCCCCTTGAAGCTTCTCGTCATGTATCCATGTCCATCAAGGACAAAAAGGAGAAAGAAATAAGCTTCGGCGGTATCCCCAACAGCCGCAACGTTTTATTTTTACAAATCTTTCTGAAGCGTGCTGCGAAGCCAAGCGCTGGAAACACCTCGACTGGGCTTCCGTGTATTAAATGGCCGCAAATCCTGTTGAACCTGGCCTGAGCCTCCCAGACCTTTTTCGGAACCTTCTCCGGAACCCTGTTGAACCTGACCTGGCTCTGCACCAAAGCCTCCCAGACCTTCTCCATAACCTTCTCCGGAACCCTGTTGAACCATGGCTCTGCACAAAGCCTTCCCGACCTTCTCCGGAACCTTCTTCGGAACCTTGTTGAACTTGACCTGGCCCTGCACCAAAGCCTCCCAGACCTTCCCCAGAACCTTCTCCGGAACCTTCTCCAGAACCCTGTTGAACGTGACCTGGTTCTGCACCGAAGCGTCCCAACCTTCGGAACCTTCTCCGGAATATCGTTGAACCTGACCCGGCGCCTGCACCAGTGCACACCGGAGCTATTCTGGGCTGAAGACCCCATTAGCTTACGCTGTTGGGGAAAAAGGAAAATGGTAAAAAAAAATTAAAGGACCGGATAACCCCACAAGTCAACTTCTTCCAACAAGCAACAAAAGAAAGGCAAAGACGGCATGGGGTAAGCAAGAAAGAGAAAAGAGATGGTGAAGGATTGGTGTGGAGTAAGTTATGTGTGGACGAGTATGTGTGAGTAAGTTGTGTATGGATGAGTTGTGTTTGTGTGTGAGGTGTGTGTGTGTGCGAGTATGTGTGTGTGGTGTGCGGCCACGATCAAAGATGCCCCACGCCAGGAAGTGCGGCGAAGGGCAATCGATGCGTGACCATTGATTATGTGTCCGCAAACGTACAGCGCAGACCATCACGAAAACGGATGGCCCACGACTGGCGTTTGGATGATGTGTGTGTGTGTGGGTGTGTGTGTGTGTGCGTGGGCGTGTATGCGTGCGTGCGTGCGTGCGTGCGTGCGTGCGTGGGTGTGTGTGTGTGTTTGTCTGTGTGTGTGTGTTTGTCTGTGTGTGTGTGTTTGTCTGTGTGTGTGTGTGTGTGGGTGTTTGTCTGTGTGTGTGTATGTGTGTGTGTCTGTGTGTGTGTGTGAGTGCGGGTGTCGGCGTGGACCATGTACGCGATGAGGTCAGTACCTGGCAGGTAGTATCAGAAGATGCGATCACGCTGAAATTGCAACAAAACAGCTGTCCATGGGCAGTGCAGAATTTAGCCTACAACGCTCCTGTTCCTCTTGGCTTGTCAACTACTGCCCCACGACACCGGTGCAGACAAGCGCATGAGAAACAAACACAGCTGCACCTTTCGAAGTTTTGCCGCTATGATTCATCGGATAACGCATTTGCTTCTCGCATCAACTATCGCACAGTGCTTCAATGTGGCCACAGGAGCTATGGAAACTACCTTGCCTCAATCCATCGGATGACACACTTCCTTCTCGAACAACTGTCGCAGTGTGATAAACTCTCTTCAAGAGGAGAGGCATCATCTTTGCACGGTGCATCAATGTGCCCACACAAGCTGTTAACACAAACTTCAATATCGCAGGCATCATCTTCGCACATTGCATCAATGCGCCCACGACAGCTGTTGACAGTGTACCATCCCATGACATGAAGCTCTCGCGACATCTGCCTACATGGCATCATAAGGCAGTAGAGCAAAATACAAATAATGGTAGCTACCTCGCCTCAATTCATCGGATGACACACTTCCTTCTCGTAACAACTGTCGCACTCTGATAAACTTTCTTCAGCAGGCATCATCTTCGCACAGCGCATCAATGTGCCGACACAAGCTGTTAGTATAAACTTCGCTATCGCAGGCATCATCTTCGCACATTGCATCCATGCGCCCACGACAGCTGTTGACAGTGACATACAAATAGCTGCAACTGTTTGCACAGAACCTGCAGTTGCGTTTGTCATGCATACATACATACATACATACCTACCATGTTACTTTCTCGATCTTTCACCATCAGTGGCACAATAACGTTACACACACACAATACAATAACTTCACACACAGAAACTTTCCACGTTGGGCCAAAACCACCAGAGCAACAATAGATGATCCTATGACCGCACCTTGACGAATATAACTTGCCAGACTAGAGGATCCTATGACCGCATCTTTACCTTGAGTGACTCGTTGTAGTTGTGTTGTAGTGGTATACGTGCTAGAGCTGTCGTCTGCAACTTCTAGTTGGGCCAAAGCGACCAAAACAGAACGACAAGAACGACAGGATGAAAGTTTGCATGCAAGAAACAGCATCTGTAATATTGTTGCTGCACAGCGTTGCTGCAGCGCAATTGAGCGCTGCCTTTCGACCACGAGCAAGACCAGCACCTGGCCGGAAGCATGTGTGTGTGTGTGGAATGCAGCAGGCCGACAGAAGAAAGTGTTGAAACATGCCAAAATCAAACATGCCGAAGCACGCGGACAGAAACAACATGCCGGAAGGACCGCATCTTTGCACCGCCATGACGAAACTTAAACATGCCAAAATCAAACATGCCGAAGCACGTAGCAGGCCGACAGAAGAAAGTGCTTAAGCATGTCAAAATCATGCCGAGCAGGCCGACAGGAGAAAGTGCTGAAACATGCCAAAATCAAACATGCCGAAGCACGCGGACAAAACAAACATGCCGGAAGGACCGCATCTTTGCACGGAAATGACGAAACGCAAACATGCCAAAATCAAACATGCCGAAGCACGTAGCAGGCCGATAGAAGAAAGTGCTTAAGCATGACAGAAGAAAGTGCTTAAGCATGTCAAAATCATGCCGAGCAAGCCAAAATCAAACATGCCGAAGCAAACGGAAAGACGAAACATGCCGGAAGGACCGCCTCTTTGCATGCAAATGACCCATTTCACTTCACTGACTAGTTGTTGTGGATGTGAGTTTGTGCCACGCCTGCCACGTGAAACGACGGTGGATGTGAGGTTGTGCCACGCCTGCCACGCAAAGTGACGCGGCGTCACAGGCGCCAAATCCGGGCCCAAGGGCGCCACCCAGTACCATAAGTGCCACGCCTGCCACGCAAAACGACGGTGGATGTGAGTTTGTGCCACGCCTGCCACGTGAAACGACGGTGGATGTGAGGTTGTGCCACGCCTGCCACGCAAAGTGCCGCGGCGTCACAGGCGCCAAATCCGGGCCCAAGGGCGCCACCCAGTACCATAAGTGCCACGCCTGCCACGCAAAACGACGGTGGATGTGAGTTTGTGCGACGAAATGACCTATTCACTTCACTGACTAGTTGTTGTGGATGTGAGTTTGTGCCACGCCTGCCACGTGAAACGACGGTGGATGTGAGGTTGTGCCACGCCTGCCACGCAAAGTGACGCGGCGTCACAGGCGCCAAATCCGGGCCCAAGGGCGCCACCCAGTACCATAAGTGCCACGCCTGCCACGCAAAACGACGGTGGATGTGAGTTTGTGCCACGCCTGCCACGTGAAACGACGGTGGATGTGAGGTTGTGCCACGCCTGCCACGCAAAGTGACGCGGCGTCACAGGCGCCAAATCCGGGCCCAAGGGCGCCACCCAGTACCATAAGTGCCACGCCTGCCACGCAAAACGACGGTGGATGTGAGTTTGTGCCACGCCTGCCACGTGAAACGACGGTGGATGTGAGGTTGTGCCACGCCTGCCACGCAAAGTGCCGCGGCGTCACAGGCGCCAAATCCGGGCCCAAGGGCGCCACCCAGTACCATAAGTGCCACGCCTGCCACGCAAAACGACGGTGGATGTGAGTTTGTGCCACGCCTGCCACGCCCAAACGACGTGGATGTGAGTTTGTGCCACGCGCTGCCACGTGAAACGACGGTGGATGTCAGGTTGTGCCACGCCTGCCACGCAAAGTGCCGCGGCGTCACAGGCCCAAATCCGGGCCCAAGGGCGCCACCCAGTACCATAAGTGTCACGCCTGCCACGCAAAACGACGGTGGATGTGAGTTTGTGCCACGCCTGCCACGTGAAACGAAGGTGGATGTCAGGTTGTGCCACGCCTGCCACGTGAAACGACGGTGGATGTGAGGTTGTGCCACGCCTGCCACGCAAAGTGCCGCGGCGTCACAGGCGCCAAATCCGGGCCCAAGCGCGCCACGTAGTACCATAAGTGCCACGCCTGCCACGCAAAACGACGGTGGATGTGAGTTTGTGCCTGCTCACCTTCCAGCCCTCCTTCTGTTTCTTTTCTTGTGTGCCGCCTGCCACGTGAACGAGACGGTGGATGTGAGGTTGGTGCCACGCCTGCCACGTGAAACGAAGGTGGATGTCAGTTGTCCACGCTGCCGTGTGTGTGGTGTGTGTGTGTGTGTGGTGTGTGTGTGTGTGGTGTGTGGTGTGTGGTGTGTGGGGTGTGGTGTGGGGTGTGTGGTGTGGGGTGTGTGTGTGGTGTGTGTGTGTGGTGTGTGTGTGGTGTGTGTGTGGTGTGTGTGGTGTGTGTGTGGTGTGTGGGGTGTGTGGGGTGTGGGTGTGGGTGTGGGTTGGTGGTGTGGGTTGTGGGGGTGCGCGCGTGCCGTGCGTGCGTGCGTGCCGGGCGGGCTGTGCGTGCGGGGCGGCGGGCGGGCTGCTGCTCGGGGGGGGGGCTGGCGTGCTGGCGGGCTGGTGCTGTGCGGGCGTGCGGGCGGGCGGGGGGAGCTTTCATGTCTTAGCTTGGCTGGCTTGCTTGTCCTGGCTTTGCGTGCGTGGTGCTTGCGGCGTGGGTGGTGGGTGGGTGGGTGGGTTGTTGTGGACAAAGTGGTGTGTTGAGAAGTGTGTGTGTGGACAAAGTGTGTGTGGACAAAGTGTGTGTGGACAAAGTGTGTGTGGACAAAGTGTGTGTTGATAAAGTGTGTGTTGATAAAGTGTGTGTTGATAAAGTGTGTGGACAAAGTGTGTGTGGACAAAGTGTGTGTGGACAAAGTGTGTGTTGATAAAGTGTGTGTTGATAAAGTGTGTGGACAAAGTGTGTGTGGACAAAGTGTGTGTGGACAAAGTGTGTGTTGATAAAGTGTGTGTGGACAAAGTCTGTTATAAAGTGTCTGTGGACAAAGTGTGTGTGGACAAAGTGTTGGAGGGCGGGAGGAGGAGGCGGAGGCGGAGGAGGAGCCCGGGATACAGAATCAAAAACAAGAACCCCACACAAAGATGTGGGGAACAAAACAACGACAAAAACAAAAAAAAACGGAAAAAGAAAACAAAACAACAACAAAAACAAAAAAACAGGGGCTCAACCTGAAAAAGGTAGAACGAAGGATACTTTGTCCCTGAAGTAATCGATGTCACAAAACAACATTAAAAACAATAAAGAAAAAATGCGGGGTCAACCTGAAAAATGCTTGCATTTTGTGCGTCCGCCCATTTCGAAAAACGCACTTCGCGCAAGGCCTCCCTCAAAAAATTAAAGTGTTAGATGTGAAAACGACGCTTTCGTGCGAGACCTCCCCCACAAAATGGAAGTGGAAGATGTGAAAACGAAGCTTTCGTGCAAGACCTCCCTCAAAAAGTGGAAGTGGAAGATGTGAAAACGAAGCTTTCAGGCGAGACATCCTTCAAAATCTGAATGTGGGACTTTCTTTGCTGTGAAACTTCTTTGCTATGATCCCTTTGCTTTGAAACTTCTTTGTTGTGAAAGTTCTTTGCTCTGAGTTCCCTTTGCTGTGAGACTTCTTTGCTATGAGATCTCTTTGCTGTGAGACCTCTTTGCCGTGAGACTTGCTATGAGTCCTCTTTGCTGTGAGACTTTTTGTTTGAGACCTCTTTGCTGTGAGACTTGCTCTTAGACTTTGCTATGAATTCTCTTTGCGGTGCAACGTCTTGCTACTATGAGATCTCTCTGCTGTGAGACCTCTTTGCTTGAGATCCGTTTGCTATGAGATCTCTTTGCTGTGAGACCTCTTTGTTATGAGGTCTCTTTGCTGTGAAACCTCTTTGCTGTGAGACTTTTTTGCTATGAGATCTCTCTGCTGTGAGGCTTCTTTGCTGTGAGGCTTCTTTGCTCTGAGATTTCTTGCTGTGAAACTTCTTTGCTGTGAGATCTCTTTGCTGTGAGTCCTCTTTGCTGTGAGTCCTCTTTGCTGTGAGATCTCTTTGCTGTAAGACTTCTTTGCTATGAGATCCCTTTGCTGTGAAACTTCTTTGTTGTGAAAGTTCTTTGCTATGAGTTCCCTTTGCTGTGAGACTTCTTTGCTATGAGATCTCTTTGCTGTGAGACCCCTTTGCTGTGAGACTTGCTGTGAGTTCTCTTTGCTGTGAGACGTCTTTGCTACTATGAGATCTCTTTGCTGTGCGCACGCGGCAAAGCTTCCGCGTCCATCTTCCGAGGCACGTTTTGCCCTGCAAAAGACAAAATTTCGTGCGGCCGCCCATTGCGAAAAACGTATTTCGCGCGAGGCTTCCCTGAAAAAGTGATAGTGGAAGATGTGAAAAACGAAGCTTTCGTGCGAGACTTCCCTCAAAATCTGAAAGTTGAAGATGTGAAAACGAAGCTTTCGTGCGAGGCCTCCCTCAAAATCGGCGAGCTGAAGATGTGGTCACGAAGCTTTCGCGCGAGACTTCCCGCAAAACCTGAACATCAGACATTTCTTTGCTGTGAAACTTCTTTGCTATGAGATCTCTTTGCTGTGAAACTTAATTGCTGTGAAAGTTCCTTGCTATGAGTTCTCTTTGCTGTGAGATCTCTTTTCTGTGAAACCTCTTTGTTGTGAGATGCTTTTGCTATGAGATCTCTCTGCTGTGAGACTTCTTTGCTGTGAGACTTCTTTGCTGTGAGATTTCTTTGCTGCGAAACTTTTTTGCTGTGAGATCTCTCTGCTGTGAGACCTCTTTGCTGTGAAACCTCTTTGCTGTGAGACTTTGACATCCCTTTGCCGTGACATCCCATAGACATCCCATTGCTTGGACATCCCTTGGCTATGATTTGAAAATCTGTTGCACGGAAGTATAGACTTCTAAGCATCCTTTGGCTCCATATATATATATAACATTATATAACATTATATACCATTATATAACATTATATATACATATGATTCTGTGTGTGTGTGTGCGGGCGCATGTGCCCGTGTAAAATGAAAAAATGTAAAAGGCTCTTTGCAATGAAGGAATTCCAGGCGGATATACAGCCGCAAAAAGACGGAAGAGATGTAGTCCAGAATTGACTGTTTGGGTCGAAGGGCCTCATACATCTCGACTGCCTCACGGATGTATGTCTCCGCCTGAAAGACACAAAGCTCATACAGTACACCTCGCAACTTACTTGGATTTGTGATGCTCTGCGATTTGTCTCATTTTTCCCCTCTATTGCTTTGGGAGCGGTTCCTTTGGTCTTCTCTCTGCCTTGCTTGATATTCTAGAATTCTAGGAGACATTACAAGACTAAAATAAAACCTCTGCCTGCTTCAGGTTCCCCAGCTTGGCATAGATCTTGGCACAGGAGATGCCTGCCTCGAATAGGATCTGGGCCCCAAGCTGCTGCGATGTGTGACAAGTCACTCGAATTCAGGTCCCTTCGAGTCAGTCTCAACACCGGAGTCATTGGCCCTATATATGTGCAGACTCTCTCTGTCCATCGCAATCCATACATACATGCAGACTCCATTGCTTGTGTTCTTCCCATCCAAGAATGCAAAAAATCTCCGGATACAGTTTGCACCTTCGCCTGCAAAGAGGCAGGAGCACCATTTGCACGTTCCTGTGCCAGCACCCAAGGGCACCCAGCCATGGATTGGAATGCAGGCGGCTCACTCCACCAAGTTGGCACAGCACAAAATTCACTTCAAAAGCTGCACCAAATCTACGAAACGTCAAATTAATTAAGCACCCAGCAGTCATTTAAGACCGCTAAAAAAAATGAAAATAGTGAAAAACAATGAAAAACAAAGGGTGTGAAATAGTTTTAGGTTGCTTTTCCCCAAAACTTTGTGTGGGGTTCTTGTTTTTGATTCTGTATCCCGGGTGCCCCGCCTCCTCCTCCTCCTCCCGCCTCCTCTTGCCCATCTTTGTCACATACCATCTTTCACACACACACACAATAACTTCACACACAACTTTGTCACATACCATCTTTCACATACAATAACTTCACACACACACACAAACTTAACACACAACTTTGTCACATACCATCTGTCACATACCATCTTGTCACATACCATCTTTCACATACAATAACTTCACACACAACTTTGTCACACACCATCTGTCAAACACCATCTTGTCACATACCATCTTTCACATACAATAACTTCACACACACACACAAACTTAACACACAACTTTGTCACATACCATCTTGTCACATACCATCTCTCACACAATAACTTCACACGCAACTTTGTCACACACCATCTGTCAAATACCATCTTGTCACATACCATCTTTCACATACAATAACTTCACACACACAAACTTAACACACAACTTTGTCACATACCATCTTTCACATACAATAACTTCACACACACAAACTTAACACACAACTTTGTCACATACCATCTGTCACATACCATCTTTCACATACAATAACTTCACACACAACTTTGTCACACACCATCTGTCAAACACCATCTTGTCACATACCATCTTTCACATACAATAACTTCACACACACACAAACTTAACACACAACTTTGTCACATACCATCTTGTCACATACCATCTCTCACACAATAACTTCACACGCAACTTTGTCACATACCATCTGTCAAATACCATCTTGTCACATACCATCTTTCACATACAATAACTTCACACACACAAACTTAACACACAACTTTGTCACATACCATCTTTCACATACAATAGCTTCACACACACAAACTTAACACACAACTTTGTCACATACCATCTGTCAAATACCATCTTGTCACATACCATCTTTCACATACAATAACTTCACACACAACTTTGTCACACACCATCTGTCAACAACCATCTTGCACACAACATCTTTCACACACAATAACTTCACACACTTTGCGTGGCAGGCGTGGAACTTGGTGACATCCACCTTGGTTTCACGTGGCAGGCGTCGCACAATCTCATATCCACGGTCGTTTTGCGTGGCAGGCGTGGCACAATCTCACATCCACTTTCGTTTTGCGTGGCAGGCGTGGCACTCATGGCACTGGGTGGCGCGCTTGGGCCCGCTTGGTCACGCGTGACGCCGCGGCACTTTGCATGGCAGGCGTGGCACTTGGTGACATCGATACAATGGTTCCACGTAGCAGGCGTGGCATAATCTCACATCCACGGTCGTTTTGCGTGGCAGGCGTGGCACAATCTCACATCCACCTTCGTTTTGCGTGGCAGGCGTGGCACTCATGGCACTGGGCGGCGCGCTTGGGCCCGCTTGGTCGTGCGTGACGCCGCGGCACTTTGCGTGGCAGGCGTGGCACTTGGTGACATCCACCTTGGCTTCACGGGGCATGCGTGGCACAATCTCACATCCACGGTCGTTTTGCGTGGCAGGCGTGGCACGATCTCACATCCACTTTCGTTTTGCGTGGCAGGCTTGGCACTCATGGCACTGGGTGGCGCACTTGGGCCCGCTTGGTCGCGTGTGACGCCGCGGCACTTTGCATGGCAGGCGTGGCACTTGGTGACATCCACCTTAGTTTCACGTGGCAGGCCTGGCATAATCTCACATCCACGGCCGTTCTGCGTGGCAGGCGCGGCACAATCTCACATCCATCTTCGTTTTGCGTGGCAGGCGTGGCACTCATGGCACTGGGCGGCGCGCTTGGGCCCGCTTGGTCGTGCGTGACGCCGCGGCACTTTGCGTGGCAGGCGTGGCACTTGGTGACATCGATACAATGGTTCCACGTGGCAGGTGTGGCATAATCTCACATCCACGGTCGTTTTGCGTGGCAGGCGTGGCACAATCTCACATCCACCTTCGTTTTGCGTGGCAGGCGTGGCACTCATGGCACTGGGTGGCGCGCTTGGGCCCGCTTGGTCGCGCTGGCTCCGCACCCGCCGCTTTAGCGAGCCTACTCTTCGACCCTCCGGAGCCACAAATCATTGGAAAGACACCGTGTTTCGCGACTTTCCTACCTTTTTGCGCACCTGGATCTTCTTCCTTCTGAGGCTTTCTCTTTTTTGATCTTCTTCCTTTTTCTCTTCTCTTCTCTGACTCTTCCCATCTCTGCTTTTCATCTGTCCATATTGTTGGAAGTTTACTCCTAAACTTCCTTCGAATATATAAAATATGCTATAACAGTAGTACCGCACAAGGCGGTGGCGGAAGTTTCAAAAATAGGAAACCTATAGGAGAACTTGGTTGTTGTGAATCAGGGATGGCAGAGCGAAGCCACTGATGGACTGAAAGGTGCTTGATCTCTCTCTCTCTCTTTCTCTCTCTTTCTCTCTTTTTCTCTCTGTTTCTCTATCTTTCTCTGATTATCTACCTACCTACCTACTGATCTATCTGTCTATCTATCTATCTATCTGTCTGTCTGTCTGTCTATCTCCCTATCTATCTATCTACCTACCTATCTATCTAGCTGTCTAGTTTGCTAGCTATTTGTCTGTCTATCTATCTATCTATCTATCCATCTATCTATCTATCTATCCGTCTACCTATCTAGGTATCTATCCATCTATCTATCTTTCTTTCTACCTATCTATCTATCAATCTATCTATCGATCTATCTATCTATCTGATCTATCAATCAATCAACCAACCTATCTATCTATCTACCTATCTATCTACCTATCTATCTATCTGTCTATCTTTCTATCTAATCTAATCTTATCTTATCTAATCTAACCTAATCTAATCTAATCTATCTATCTATCTATCTATCTGTCTCATCTGCCTATCTAACTATGTATCTATCTATCTACCTATCTAGCTGATCTATCAATCAAACAACCTATCTATCTATCTATCTATCTATCCATCTATCTATCTATCTATCCATCTATCTCTCTCTCTCTCTCTGTCTGTCTGTCTGTCTATCTATCTGCAAGTTTGAAAACTAAGCAATTCTGCGAGACTTCCTTAATTTTTGAACGTAACAACATCCAAAACGAAACAATTCTGCGAGACTTCTTCATTTTTATGCACTTGACAACATCCAACACAAAGCAATTCTGCGAGACTTCTTCAATTTATGAACTTGACAACATCAAAAAAAACGATTTTGCGAGACTTCCTTCAAAAATGGAGAGTTGAGTGCAGCGCTGACAGCCTCGTACCAATGAGTTTTGCGATTTTTCCAGTCCACCTGTCTAAAGTACTGCGCCTGCCACGGGAAATTGATGCCAGGTCATACGAAGTGCTGCACCTGTCACGCAAAATCATCTTAGCAAACCTGCACATCTGATACTCCAAAATGCAACCCCTCTCAGGAAATCAGCGCCCTGAACTCCTAACATCTCTCATGAACATGTCCTTTGTACTGCGCCTGCCACGGAAAATGCATCTTTGCAGATCCTCTTCAAATGTCCCATGCCTGCCATCGCTTTTGGAAATGCTACAAAACCCTCACGTTTTGCTCACTTTCGAACAGGTGCAAAATCCCTTGCGCCTGCCACGCGAAACGACATCTGAACCTCCAAAAGTGGTCCGAACCCCTAGTGTTGTGTACATTTTCACTTCGAAATGCGTTTCGCGCCACAACGGCGTGCACTTTTTCGACTTCTGAACTTCCAAAAGCGGTGCGAGGCTGAGGTGCTTTGTACATGTTCACTTCGAAATGTGCTTCGCGCCACAACAGCGTGCACTTTTTCGACATCGCAACTTCCAAAAGTGGTCCGAGCATGGTGTGTTTTGTACATTTTCACTTCGAAATGTGCTTCGCGCCACAACGGCATGCACTTTTTTGACATCGCAACTTCCAAAAGTGGTCCGACCATGGTGTGCTTTGTACATTTTGACTTCGAAATGCGCTTCGCGCCACAACGGCGTGCAATTTTTCATCTCTCATCTGGCCAGCTGGCTCCGCACCCGCCGCTTTAGCGAGCCTACTTTTCGACCCTCCCGAGCCACAAATCATTGGAAAGACACAGTGTTTCGCGACTTTCCTACCTTTTCGCGCATCTGCATCTTCTTTCTTCTGACTCCTCTTTTCTCTGATCTTCTCTCTTCTAATCTTTCTCTTCTCTCTGCCTCTGCCCTGCTCTTCTTTTCATCTGTCCATATTGTCGCAAGTTTGACTTCTAAACTTCCTTCGATAACATCTAATGATCTAATGTATAATATATCACGTGCCTTGTAGAACTCGTACGCTTTGAGGCAGACCTGATGCGCTCTGTCAACAAGTCACCAAGCCGCTGCTTGCCAAGGTAGACCTGAAGAGCTCAGGCTGCAGCTGGAAGAGCTTCATTGTGCTTTCCCAAGCGGTCCTGCTGCAAAATGGCTGCACAATCTGTGGTGACCAAGCAGAATGACCAAGCAGAACATAAAATAAACCTAGGATGAACATAGAACCACCGGGGAACCACCACCACACCCAGCATACCCAGCACACCAAGCCAGTCCCTGACGATGCCAAGTCCCAGTAGCACCTTATTTTGCGTCTGTAAAGCACACCCAAAAACTGGTTCGAAGATGCCAAAAGGCCAAATCACAACGGTTTGATGCATGATCTGCTCACATCTGTTCAAAGACCTAGACCACACTGAGGCCCTAGCTCCACCTCGATTCCCCTGCATGATGACTCTAAGAACGCCAACACAGGCAGTGAAATGTTTCTTGACACACAACCGCCAGATCGAAGAAGCGGCCTTTAGTCCACAGCTCCACATCCAAATTTCTCTACATCTCCCTGCATTCCTTTCAACTTGAGCGCACAAGCTTGTGGCCTTATTCATGCCAGCTTCCTGCTCAATGAATTTCAAGGCCTCGGCACTTGGCACACCCCACGATTCTGATAACTGAAAGGCACAACAGTCCAAGACTTGGCCTCACTGTGCATTACTAGACCGGTCACAGCCCACCTGTCGCAAATAGTCCTCCGCCTTCTCAAAGTCGCCCAGCGAGTTGTAGGTGTGCCTGTGCGCATGGCTATATAGCCCTAGCTGCTCTCTCGCCCAGCCACTTCACGGCTTAGCTCTGCTTGGCCCCGCTTAGTCCATCAACACAACCGGACGACCGCTTTGGCGATCTGTCACACTTCCGGAACAGGCCCGCTGTGCCACGGATAACAATGACTCAGCAACCGGCGCTATGTTTTCACAAAGGGCTGCACCTCAACTCACCAAAACAAAAGATGCAAGCAAAGTTGTCATAGAATAAAGCGCATACGCTCCCAAATCTCCAAACAGGCATTGCATCTGACTCACCAAATCAGAGTGGCTTGGAATGACCTTCTGAGTTCCGTGCTTTTGCCCAAATATCCTTCCATCTCCTCAGCTTCATCGCCCCCCCCTCGCCACTAGCATCAGTGGTCTTCAATCTTTGGGCTGCGCAGTCAGTCACACCAGGCGAATATCAGCACAGTCGGCACTTCTGGTGAAACTGGACTACTGGATGCATTATATATATATATATGCATGTATGTGTATGATACACACACATATTTGTATATTATATATATGTATGTAAATGTATATATGTATATGCAAATTAGATTTATGACAATTTCAGCTAGCCACGCACTGGAGGTCCAAAAATACTTTCTTTTCAATTTATCATCATTTTCATCAGCACCCACAACATCACAAAATCATCACCAATTTTGCCGAAACCGTATGAGGTTAGTTTCCATCGCCACGGAATGTTCCCAAAACATGACTTTTAGCTTGCTGCAACAAAACCTGCCAGGGTCGCAAAGATCACTGTGGCAATCGCACTGGTAATGGCGAAAACAAAAGCTTCAGGTTCGGAAACAATTCGATTTTTTCTCATTCGAAAATAATTCGAAAATAAATTGAAACTTGCTTTTGCGATTCGAAAATAAACCGACAATAAATCGAACATGTTTTTCCGGCCCGAAAAAAATTGGAAAAAATAACGAAAATAAAACGGAAAAAAAACGAAAATAAAGCGAAAATAAAACAAGAAAAAAAAACTTGACGTTTGTGCATTTTTTGATTTTGCCAAATCTGATTCAAAAACGAAAAAACCGACAAGAATCGAAAACAAAAACGAAAAAACATCGGAGAAGAAAAACAAAAAACGAAAACAAATCGAAAAAAGAAAGAAAATCCAGTTTTTTGCAACAATTTCTGGATTTTGCCACAGCTGACGCAATTTGACCGTTTTCCAGCTCCCGAAAAGAGCCGCAGCAGCTCTGGAGGCTTGTCTCCATGTCCGAGGATCCGGGGGACCGTGATCGGTTGGTGAAAATCTCAATGATGGCCCACATGAATACACAAAAACAGCTGTCCAAGCAGGTGAAGACTTTGAGATGATTTTGATGATAACCAAAATGATGATTTGTGAAAAATACATGTTTTTGTGGGCTCCAGCCTGTGGCTCTCAAATTGTCATTATATTAGATTACAAGTGTATGTGTGTGCCAAGTAAATTTGAGTTGGCCAAAAAAAGCTTTTGCCACTTGCCATTGAATTTGATAATATGCAAGCACAAAGAGTACAGAGAGGGGGGCAGAGATAGATCCCTGTCTTACATTTATATAAGATAGAATACTTGCCTGCACGTACGGGTGAGGGAGAGCATCTGCGTGTGTGTGTGTGACTGTGACTGTGACTGCGGGTGTGATGTTCACGTTCATAGTGTTTAGTGATTCCGCTTGTCGGGGCATGCACAGAAAAATCTTGCAAACAGTTTGTATACGACGCATACGACATACATGTTTTCCATTTTCATACGCACACCTGCTGCAAATGCTGAGGCAGGCTAAGAGGCAGGCGTGGAACAATGGCAATGCTTCGCGAAACCTGGACTGCTTCCAACCTGGGAAAGTCAATCTTTGTTCAGCTCAACTGCCTTCCCTTTCACCTCCTAGAAGTCCTTCATACAAGTCCTTCCCACAGTTCCTTCCAGCAGGTCCCACTCTCCCATCGTCCAGTTCCAAGAATCCTGCGTACGAAGGCCAAGGCCTGAATTCCCTTCATGTAGAACTTGTCCCCGCGTTTGCGACAAACGGGAACTACCTGCGCCGCCGCACCACTGTGATCCAGCTGTCCGGGCTGACGGAAACCAAGGACCACACTGCGAATGCCCAACCTGCTCCAAGTAGTCTGAAAGCCTTGGACACATTCAGACTCGTATGCTCTGCAGTCGCCACGTTCCAAGGGCCGCAAGTCAAGGTGTTGACTTTGCTAGCTTCTAGGCAATTCTTCGGCCAACTGACACTTTTGCACGGCTCACCTTTCAACACTTTGGGCTTGGATGAGCCTAGGCGCTGCATTTGCAGTACGTGCACAAAGGGTCTCCGCATAGAACCCTTTGGGAACTTGCGTAGACCTGAACGAGCCGAATTTTCCCAGGCCATCGAATGGAGTTTCCTCCAGGTCAAAAGGCCTTGGTGCAACTTTTGGAATATGTTGAAGCTGGTGGTCTCGCTGGCAAGCAGTCACTCCAGTGACAGCTTCTTTGAGCCCACCAACTTGCTCTTGCAATGCCCAGGCACATCGGCTGTTGCCTTGCAAATCTTGGAATGTTTTCCTTGTTGTGATTTCAGCTTCGTGGCGGAGACTCTGTACATGAACCTCCGCATCGAGGACAGCACGAGCTGTTCGGATGTCAGCTTTCTGAAGGTGATTTGACAAGTCTTCTCGTTGAAAGGTTTCAAGCTCCAAGATCTCCTGCATTTCCACCACGATGTCCTTAATTTGAGTCTCGATTTCTTCACGTTTTTTTTGCGCATCCTCAGCCCGGGCCTCAGCTGCCAGCACCACCGCGTGACCTTCCTGCCGGATCTGCTGCACTCGGCTTTGAAACAACGACTCCTCCTTTGCAATGACTCGTTTGTGCTCTTTCTCCACTTCCTCAGCAGCAGCAGCAGCAGCAGCAGCAGAAGCACACGCACAAGCACACGCACACGCACACGCACAAACTTGCAATCAAGCTTGGAGATGTGAAGTGGCATTGCTGGGGATCTCATGGTTGCAAACATTGAGCCACAAAAACCTTATAACCACACATCCAGAATGTTCTTCTTGCAAGACCGGACAGCTGCCCCCCCCCTTTATGCAAAGGAAAGAAGGTCGCAAACGAGTACAGATCTTACTTTGACCACAGCTCGCGGAAAGGATCTGAGGGCACAAGGACAAGTGGAAGCAAAACCTTGCAATGGAGGCGTAACTCTTGAGGTACTCAGATTTTCAGCTCACCACACGAAGTCACAGCAGAAGACGGTAACATACGGTAACGCATGTCCCCGCCAAGCGCATATCATCGACCAAAGGCGCGCGCACAATAACAAACACCACCCCCTGCCCGTCTCCATTGACGAATCATCAATGCCAATAAGCTCCTCTGCTGGCCATAGCTCGACCACCGCGGCGGCCAAAGCAAACAGAACCCATGCACCCGTCACCCACCAAGGTTTCATCAGGCACAACTAGACCATCCAAAAAACAACCACGCGATCACTCCAATCTCTTCTTTCACAAGGCTTCAGTGAGGCAACATCACAAGCGCTCTTGGGAGAAAATCTGTTTTGAAATTACATCCTAAGTGCATCCAAAGACCTCTGCAGCAGCTTCTGTCAGCGCATGCCGAGATTCTGCCTGCAATGGTTGAAACTCGTATGCATCCAAGGCATCCTGATTTTTTACTGAACCTTGTTACCAAGATGTGTAACCAAAATTGACAAACCACTGCAAACGGGGAAAAACATTGGTTGTGGATAGTCTTGAACAAGGGATTTGCGTTGTTCTTGCCCCGTTCAAGAAGTTCATGCGTATTTGGAAAAGGTCTTAGTTTGGCATCGAATGCGCCCAAAGGAAGGCTGTGACAGTCATCTGATACACAAGAGGGTCATATAGTGCACTCAATAGTGTCAGAAAATTTGTTCAGTGTTTCTCGACATTCTGGGGCATCACACCTCATTGTATGTGGGTGGCTGGAGGTCTTTCGTGCGTTTTAGTGGGAACAATGTGGTGTGCAGTATGTGCATTCTGGTGTTAATGTTGAAGAGTCCATGAGCGCCCTCGATGATAAACACCGTCTTTCTCTGCATGTGACTGGCCAAACCAAAATTTCTTGGTACGCGATGCCTTGCCGCGCAATCTAAGAACTTGAGGCCCAGGGCGGGTGAACGAAAGCAAAAAGTCACATGAATGTGGAAACAGGTGAGCTGAACTTGGACACATGCAGGGAAGTGGAAAGCATGCGCATGTTTCCGGAGCCTTTTTTTGCGGCAGTGAAGTGACACTGCGGCAGTGTGAAGTAAAATTGGAACAGCAGTGAAAAGAATTTGGGCGGAGCACGTGCGCTAGAAACGCGCGAGAAAGATAGAGAAAATAATATACAGATATATGCATATTTAAAATACATATGTAGAGAGAGATATATATATAAATAAATAAAATAAATAAAATAAAATTAAAAATAAATAAATAAACAAACACATATATAAATAAACAAATAAATAAATAAATACATACATACATACATACAGATGTGTGTATGTATATATACGCTCGGGGCCCTAGGTTTCCGCAGAGTATCTTGGTTCTCATTGATCCATATGTCAAAAATCATTCTTTCGCCACAGCGAAATGTGGATTTTGCACATTCTTCTTTTTCTTTCTTTAATGACAATGTTACGGAGCTAAATTTTTAGGCCCGCGCAAGTTGCATGTTATGACATGTCATCCACAGTACATGTCAATTGTGATTTTCATGTTTTCCGACACGAAATACCACTTTTCATGAATTTCTTTGTTTTTGTTTAATCCGGAAATGTCATTTTTTACTGCGGCACGTGGGGTAATATGAAGAGGTGTCTTTTTTATTGGTATTTGCAGTGAATTATGAAACGGCACATGTTGATAGTCAGCCTTTTTTTGCTCGTTGTTGCTTCAACTTCATCAGCCTGCTGCAACATGTTCTTTTTCAAAGTTTCTGATTTTCTTGTTTTCCCACACGAAATAGCACATTTCATGAAAGTCGTTGTTTTTTTTAAGCGGAAAAGTGCTGTTTTTACTGCCGCTCGTGGTGTAATATGAAGGGCTGTTTTTTATTGGTATTTGCAATGTTTTTTATGTCAGCATGAAACGGGACATGTGGATAGTCACCCTTTTTTTGCTCGTTGTTGCTTCAACTTCATCAGCATGCTGCAACATGTTCTTTTTCAAAGTTTCCACGTACCATGAACATGACGTTAACATGCCCCACACCCCACCCACCCCAAACCCATCAACGTACCATGAATATGACGTTAACATGCCACACCCCACCCCACCCCACCCCTTGCGGAAACCTGGGGCCCCGAGGGTATATATATATATACACATATGAAGAAAGAAAATACAGAAAGAAAATCAGAACACGATATCGACACAAAGAGATAGACATGCATATACAGGCACAGGAGCTGCACAATGGAGAGCTTCATATGTAGAAGGAAGTTGCATGCTGTGCTTGGCGACATCGGATGGAGGTATATAGCGCTGCAAACTTACACGATACAAATGCAAGTGATCTAGGACTTTGCAGCCGGCACCGCCATTGAACGATAGGGAGGATTGTATCCGGAGCTGCTTTGGAGCTCACTGCCAAAGTGCCAGACGATACTCATCCACAGGGGCGTCGGATGGAGTCAAGACGGTAGCAAAGTAGAGGTGTAATGTTCGTAGAACATGTGACCCAAGAACACGGTTACTGTAAAAAGTTGAGGCCCTATCCAGAAGTGTAATTTTTGATGGGGCTCAGAACCTCAACTGTTGATCCGAGTCACAAAGAATTCTATCGAGCACTGCCAAATTGTTAGAAGCTCTGGCGAGCATGGAATGTCTGAACCAAAGAAGATGGGTACGCGATAAAGTTTGGGCCCATCCAAAATTAATTATACTTTTTGACGGGGCTCAAATCTACAAAGTGTTGACCTGAGTCAGAAAGAACTCTATCGAGCCCAATGCTAGAGAGTTACAGATCCTGAGCTAAAGAGTTACAGAGGGATGGCCCTGGCAGGATTTGAGTCCGTGACCATCTGCTTCCGAGACTGCTTCAAAATGCCCCGCGAGCGGGCGTGGGGGGGTTCGAGTGAAAAATCACTGTGTTGGGCTCAGACCATTGCTGAAGCAAGAGCAACTCCAGCTAGCTACCGCTAGCTTTCGTGATATGTCAGACCATTGTATGAATTGCAATTTGATTCGCTTTCTCAATCAGCGCCTGTAGGGTAAGCGAACGCATCCAAAGATTGCTACAAGTTCAATCCATGTCATTGTCGGGAAAAAGAGAAAGTTCAAGAACGTTCTGGAAGGCGTGGGGCTACCCATGGAGAAACCTGATCCAACCTGCGAAATGCACATCATGTAAAAGTGTTTCTCAACTCGTTACAACAGACTTGAATATGTTTCCACTTTTGGCTTACCGTTGTAGACTGAATGTGGAGCTGGGCGGGTGTAGAGTGCGGAGTGTAAAATGTCCAGTGTAAAGAGTGGAGTGTAGCGTGTAGAGTGGGGAGCGGGGAGTGTCGAGAGGGGAGTGGGGAATGTAAAGTGCAAAGTGTGAAGTGTGGAGTGTGAAGTGAGGAGTGTGAGGTGTAGAGTGTACAGTGTCAAGTGTAGAGTGTAGAATGCAGTGTAGAGCGCATAAAGATTGTATATAGGATGCACACCTGAGAGGGGGTAACAGTAACGAAAGCCAGCATCACAGCTACAGCTACACCAATTTTTCACCAAAAGATTTTTCACCCACGGACGCTTTACCAACCTACTTTTCCCCCACAGACTTTTCAGCGATATACTTCTCACCGACAGGCTTTTCACCCACAGACCCTTACCCACAGACTTTTCACCCACATGCTTTTCTCCCACAGACTGTTCAACCACATACTTTTCACCCACCGACTTTTCACCCACATACATTGCACCCCAATTCTTTTCACCCACATACTTTTAACCCACAGGCTTCTCACCCAGAAACTTTCACCCACAGACTTTTCACCCACAGGCTTTTCACCCAGAGATTTTTCACCCACATGTTTTTCAGCCACAAGCTTTTAGCCGCAGACTTTTCAGCCACAGACTTTTCACCGACAATTTTCTCACCCACAGACTTTTCCCCCATATATGTTTCACCCATTTACGTTTCACCCACAGGCATTTCACCCACATTTTTTTCATCCACTGGTTTTCCGTCCACATACTTTTCACCCACAAACTTTTGACACACAGACTTTTCATCCACAGACTTTGCACCCACATACTTTTCACCGAAAAACTGTTCACCCACAGGCTTTTCACACACAGACTTTTCACACACAGACTTTTCACCCACAGACATTTCACCCACAGATTTTTTCACCCACATGTTTTTCAGCCATGGGCTTTTCCGCCACAGACTTTTCACCCACCGACTTTTCACCCACAGACTTTTCAGCCACAGACTTTTCACCCACAGACTTTTCACCCACAGACTTTTCACCCACAGACTTTTCACCCTCAGACTTTTCCCCCATGTACTTTTCACTCACAGACCCTTACCCACAGACCCTTACCCACAGACTTTGCACCCACAGACTTTTCACAGGCTTTTCACCCACAGACTTCGCACCCAAATTATTAATACTCTTCACCCACTGATGTTTCACCCACAAGCTTTTCAGCCACATATTTAATTTTTCCCCATACAGAATTCACCCACAGACTTTTCACCCACAGTCTTTCACCCATATACTTCTCACCTGCATGACTGTCACCCACAGTGTGTTCAACCATCCGCTTTTCACCCACAAACTTTTCACCCCTGCACTTCTCCCCCACAAACTTTTCACCCACAGACTTTTCAACCATATACTTTTCACCTGCAAACTTTTCATCCATATATTTTTCACCCGGGGACTCTTCACCCGGAGACCCTTCACCCACAGACTTCACAGACTTTTCACCCACAGGCTTTTTCAGCCCCAGCAGAAAAACATGTAAATATAATTATGTGTTTCAACAATTGCTAACCTTCTCAAAATAAGAAAAAATGTACATTACAGTGTTTGTGACTGGTTACGCCCCAACATCATGGTAACCTATAAGAAGCGGTGTTTTGGCCACATCTAAGCTTCCCTTCTGACCCCCTGGAAATACAGACCAAGGGCCCCCGGACCCCCTAAAATCGCTTCAGCCAGGCCTACTGGCTGGCTGTCGTAAAAATGTTCAAACATTTTCAATATTCGGGCATCTTCAATGCGAAGCCCACCGGACCAGATCGGCCATCTCTTCCCCTCAGCCCATATCACCCACAGCGCTTCATCCATCAGAAGCTTCACGCAAATCGGACAATGTTCAAGCATCTTCAATGCGAAGCCCACCGGACCATATCAGCATGGTTCACAGCATGGCTCTTCCCCTGAGGCCATATCACCCACGCCGCTTCATCCATCAGAAGCTTCACGCAAATCAGACACTGGACCATTTCGGCCGTTGAGGTTCAGCATGGTTCATCTAATACCAAAACCCTTCTTTCCCAGCCCCACAGTTTGCCCGCTAGAGGGGCGGGCCAGGGGGGAACCGAAGCCCTGCAGTCACTAAATTACCACCCATTCGCACACCTGGGCCAAATACAA